GTGCTGCCCCAGATAAGACAGAGTAGAAAAGCTCTCATAGTGTTTTAAGGATTTAGAACCAGCTAAGATTCCTGGGGGACACTGAGGATGAGGATGGCAGAGAGGAAGCAAAGGGTAGGGGAGAGGGGAGTTAAGACATCACCTGTCTGATCTACAGAGGAGAATGGTAACAACAGCAGTAATAATTTAAGTCCTCATATTTGTAATTCCTTGGCCTTATTCACAATAGCACTTTCAGGATAGACCAGAATCCAGTAACACTGACTGCCTCTTCTTAGAGGGCACTGTAGGGTTGGGAGACAAAGGTGGAAGGGAGTTTTTTTTTTTTTTTTTTTTTAACTGTGTGCCCTTGAAATTTTGAAATTCTGGACCATGTAGATGGATTATCTATTCAAAAATATATAAAGGGAATTTTTACACTATTTTAACCATGTCTAGAGTTTTCCAACAATCCTAAGAAGCAGGCAGAGCAAAGATCAGTAGTTGCAACTCACAGATGAGGAAGCCATGGGCTCTAAGAAAGAAAAAGGAGGGACACCTGGGTGGCTCAGCAGCTGGGCGTCTGCCTTTGGCTCAGGTCATGATCCTGGAGTCCTGGGATTGAGTCCCACATTGGGCTCCCTGCATGGAGCCTCCTTTTCCCTCTGCCCGTGTCTGCCTCTCCCTCTCTTTCATGAATAAATAAATAAATAAAATCTTTAAGAAAAAAAGGAATTGGCCACAGTTGTGGTAGAGTAGGAAGACTCAGACCTTCACGCTCCTTTTTAAAAAAAAAAAAAATTTTTTTTTAAAGAGACCCAGGCAGAGGGAGAAGCAGGTTCCCTGCGGGGAGTCTGATGGGCGACTTGATCCCCAGGACCCTGGGATCACGACTTGAGCCGAAGGCAGGCACAAAACCACTGAGCCACCCTGGTGCCCCTGATTTTCATACTCCTAAGCCACTGTTCTCTTTTGGAACCCCCACAGTTTGAAAGATGCAACCCCGCATAGCTAGAGCTGCATGAATCCACATGGGGAAGGGCACAGGAACCCAGCACCCCATAAGGAACTTTACTAATCAGCACAGCGGGCTATGTGAGCTGTTCCGGGCTGGCTAGATGTTCTGGCAGTGGAAAAACATCCTGAAACTCGTGAAGGCTTCAACTCTTACTACTGAAAAATCTATAAAATGCCCAAGTCCACACTGTTTCTCAAGCGTGGTGGCTGCAACCACATTTTTTTTACTAGATTCATTAACTTGCAGACTCTCAGAGTCATCACTATGAACTCAGAGAGACTCAGACGGGTGGTCAAGTGTAAAAATGAGCACTGGGCTTACGACCCAGGCAGACCCTGAGTTCAAGTCCCAGTTCTACCATTGACTTGTGTGTGGCCTTCCGCATGCTGGTTACTTCATTTATTTTGGCCTCAGCTTCCCCTCGATTAATAAGAATCAACTCGCAGACATGTACCCCACACCACGCATCTAACACTGTTGTAGGTGCGGGGACTCGCAGGCCCACAAAGGAGACTGGATCCCTGCACTTTCAAGGAGCTGACAGGCCTTGTACAGGAGGAGACTGTCACATGAGGTCATTTTAAGTCCTGATAAGTGCTATGAACTTATCCCTGACCTTACCCTGTAATGGAACAGAAGGTCCAAAAGGGCAGGGAAGGCCTCTCTCTGAAAAGGAGGCATCTGCAGTGGGAGCCAAATGATGAGGCAGCAGGGGGATGTAGGGACACAGTATGACAAGCAAGGGGATAAAGAGCCCAAGGCAGGCCTGTCTGAAGGAGAGAGAAGGCCAGTGAGGCCAGAAAGCACTCAGTGAGGGGCAGAGGGAAGGAGCTAAACCAGCCAAGGCAGACAGGGGCCCACCTCTTCAGGTGAGCAGTCTGGATGTCATTCTGGTTGCAACTAGAAGTGACTATAGAAATAAAGAGGTTTAATTAGATCTGTAAAGTTGTAACTTCTTAATTTTTTTAGCAGTCAAATGAAAACAAGTGGAACCTCAATACCAAACTGGATACAAGTAGTTTTGCTCTGTCTAGGTGAGAAGCTAGTTAAGGCCCTTCCGACCTTGTGGCCTCTTGGCTTTCCCGGCTCCCACCCCCGACCCCTCAGGGGATACCCCCACATCCTGGAGCTCAGAGGAGCTGGAAAAACACCAGGTGATCTATGTCTGGGTTCTTCAAGGTCCAACAAAAAAGTACAGGGAGGAGGTTTGGGATATGACACCGGATGCCTGCTGGACCCCAGGCAGCCCCTGCAAAGGTTTTAAATTAAATCCCTGATGTGGGCACACTTTCTGCAGGAACAATAACAATAAAATCTGGTTCATCAAAGGTTCCAGTTAAAATCACACTGCTGAAGCTATAGGGAGAGAAAACAGATCAGTGATTGCCAGGGGCTGGGGTGAAGGGAGCACACTGACACAAAGGGACATGGAACTTTCTGTGTTGCTGGAAGTATTCTATACTGTGATTGTGGAGGTGATTATGGGGCTGCATACGTTTCGTCAAAATTCACACAACAGGGATCCCTGGGTGGCGCAGTGGTTTGGCGCCTGCCTTTGGCCCAGGGCGCGGTCCTGGAGACCCAGGGTCGAGTCCCACATCGGGCTCCCGGTGCATGGAGCCTGCTTCTCCCTCTGCCTGTGTCTCTGCCTCTCTCTCTCTCACTGTGTGCCTATCATAAATAAATAAAAATTTAAATAAAAAAAAAAATTCACACAACAGTACACGTAAAGTGGGTGAAGTTAAAGGAGTGGAAGTTAAATCATGAACCTGATGTTTATGAAGACACCTGAGGAAAGCAAAAGTGACTTGCTCCTGCTGAGTCAGTAGAGCCCCCAAACTGCCACTTGAAGGAATGTCCCCCACCCACTGCTGCTCAGTTTCAATTCAATGCCTCTTTAGCACCCTGGGCCTCAGGTTTCTCTGACTACAAAATGAGGATGTAGATAATCGCCAAAAATTCTTCCACTCCAATCAGATTCTAAGAAGCAGTCTGGCACAGGGGAAAGACCTCAACCCTGTAGAGTCAGAAAAACTGGAAGAAAAATGCCCAGCTCTGTCAGTTACTTGCTGTGGGTGCCAGGGCCACCCTGTCCTATGCCAGACGGGGTTAGTAAGAACACATCTGTAAATCAGCTGGCACACAACAGACTCTCAAAAGGGGAAGCCATTATGTGGAGGGGTTTTACCATCCATCCAGTGTCCTGATCCCAATCCCACCCAGCTGTGTCCTAAGAACAATGTGGAGGTGCCCATAAGGAAAAGAAATCGTGAACTGCCTGCCCTGTGTTGCATAACCCGTGCTCGGGTACACAGTACACCCTGGGCTCCACTGGGGCACAGGCTGTTATCTCGCCAGGTAAACAGGAACACCCTGCCCCCTCCTTGACCACCGTCAGCACCCAGCCACCACAAACACACGGGTGCAAGAGAAGACCGGCCCACAGCTTGCAGAAGCAGCCACTGCTATTTATGCCTATATTTTAGGAACTCCACTTTCCCTGTGGCTGCTGGCATCATCACAGGGCACAAAGTCATCCACAGACACACTCCACCCATCCTCCAGCCCTTCCCTCGCCACCTGTTCCAAAGGGGTGGTCCCAAATAATGACTCAAAGCTGCCTGCCACACCTTGCTCCTATCTTTCTATCCTAAGGAAACCAAAAGAAACACACAGAAACCCAAAATATTATTAAAACAAAACAAATAAAACAAACCCTTCAGGCAGGGAGTTTCTGCTTCCCCTGGCACATCAACCCTAGAGGCACTGTGGCCGCGTCAAGTTTGTTGGCGTACTATGTCTCCATGGAGGGACATGAGGTAGGCGACACCCAGAAATTATGCCAATTTTGCAGAAACAAAGAGCTAAATACCGTGCAAAAGACAAGCATGAGCACGGCTACAGCAGCCCAGGGACCCAAAGCATCAGATCTCCAGGGACTCCAATACCTGGCTCAACTTCTAGAAAACACAGAGATAACAGGAGATAACACTTGCCCTGTGCTGCCCCTGCTCAGTGCTCTCAGGAGCCGTCCTGCAGATACGTGAACTCAAAACCATGAAAGAATGGAAAAGATTTCTGCACAGCTCAGTGGAGTAAAGATACTGAGCAAAAACAATGCTCCGTCCTGGCCATGGTCTCCCAACTCTTATTAGGGAGGGCTGGTGGCCAGGGCAAGAGACTCTGATTCATCAATCATAAATATTATTTATCAAACCATTGCCAGGACATTGTGGCAACTACATCCTGCTGTTTCTATTCAGAGCCGCTGCCAAAGTTCGGTCCTCTCCCCCACCTTCCGGTATCTGTGAACTTTCCAGTTTCTACCACACTCCAGCTGGGGGAGGGGACCCAGTGCCGGCCCTCGTCGAGTGAAGTTCCACCACCGAGTCCACAAAGAGACTGCGGGGAGGCGTGGCCAGGCCGGAAACTCTGACAAAAAGTTTGGCCCTCCGGTCCTAGAAGCAACTGCCTCCCGGTGCCCCGCAGTCGCGGGAGGGAGGGTGCTCCCGCGGCCGGCTCCCCCGCCAGGGCCGCCGCGCTGGGCGCTCGGAACGCGGCGGGGAGGGGCAGGCCGCCCGGCGCCCCTCGGCCCCCCGCGCTCCGAGGCGCTCTGCTGCCTTCCTTCCACGGGCGAGGTCATTTCGGAGCAAGAGCCCGCGGCGGGTGGGCTCGGGAGGGTGGGGCCTCCTCCCCCGCAGGACCCCCCGCACGCGCACGCCCCCGAGGCCGGCGCCCCGAGGACTGACCCGGACCCAGACCCCAAGCCCGGGCCTGCTCCCGCAGGAGGAAGGGGAAGGGGCAGGGAAGGGATCTGCCAGAAACCCGAGGGCCATCCGGGGCGCTCGCTGCGGCCGCGGGCTCCCGCAGCCCCCGCCCCCGCCCCCGCCCCCGCCCCCGCGGAGGGGGCGCCTTCTGGGGGCGCTGGCGGACCGCGGGGCCCGTCGGAGCGGCCAGAGGGCCAGGCCGCCCCCGCGCCGCGACTCCGGGCCGGGCCTCCCACCTTGACCCGCTTGCCCTGGATCTCCAGCGTCTTCATGGTGAAGTCGACGCCGATGGTGCTGCCCTGGCGCTCCGAGAAGGCGCCGGTCTTGAAGCGCTGCACCACGCACGTCTTGCCCACGCTCGCGTCGCCCACCAGCACCAGCTTGAACAGGAAATCGTACTGCTCGTCCGGGTCCCCCGGGCCCGGGCCTGGGCCCGCCATGGCCGCGCGGGAGCCGAAGGGCCGGCGCTCCACACGCTGAGCAGCCTGAGCGCGCGGAAGCCGCGGACCGCCTGGCGACGTGGAACCGCCGCAACACCTGAAGAAGGGGCGCCGCCGACTGCCGGCCCCGGCCCCGCCCCGCCCCCGCCGGCCTCCCGCCCCGGCCCCGCCCCCGGCCCCGGCCCCGCCCCCGCCGGCCTCCCGCCCCGGCCCCGGCCCCGGCCCCGCCCCCGCCGGCCTCCCGCCCCGGCCCCGGCCCCGCCCCGCCGGCCCCCGCGGCCCCGCCCCGGCCCCGGCCCGCCCCGCCGGCCTCCCGCCCCGGCCCCGGCCCCGGCCCCGCCCCCGCCGGCCTCCCGCCCCGGCCCCGGCCCCGGCCCCGCCCTCGGCCAGCCGGGAGCCCGCGGGCCTCCGCTCAGCCCCGGGCTCGCCTAGTTCCGCCGCCGCTCGCTCCGGGCCAGCGCAGCCCTCGCGCCCGCCCCCAGCCCCGCCGCGGCCAGGCTCCGCCCCCCGCGCCGCCCCGGCCCGACTCTACTACCCTCAGCACCTCGGGCCCGCCCCATCCCCGCTCCAGCCTCGGCGCTCCTCGGGACAGACTCCGCCCTCAGCCACACCCCGAGCAGGCCCCGCCCCCAGCCCGGCTCCTGGCCCCGCCCCCAGCCCGACTAGCGGCCCTCGGCCGGTCGACGTCGGCTTCTCAGCCCCGCCCCTAAGCCCGCCCACAACCCAACTCGGCTCGCAGCCCCGCCCCCAGCGCTCGCCACGCGCCCCATCGCCTGCGGGCCAGGCTGCAGGCCCTGAGCAGTCAGGAGCAGGCTCAAGGGAGTGGTGGTCTCTGGGCCTGCAGGCCTGGGGGCCTATTAACCCAGCCAATGTACCCAGAACGGCCATGGCCTCCTCTAGAATGGATCCGCCGGGAAGGGGACCACAACGCAGCGTCCCTTCTGCAGGGCCGATAATGCAGCATCCCTCTAACAGAGGACGGGGATAGGTGATAGCATCTTCCCACACGGAAGGGAAAGGCACAAGGGCCCACTACCAGGAACGAGAAGGCTTCAGTGAGGCCAGAAATCAAGCTGACTACAAACTAGGGTGAAGACCAGAATCCCAGTGGGGAAAGAGACCTGAAGGCTGTGTGCTCAAAGTGACCCCCCCCCCCTTTCAGGACTCTAGAGAGAGGGAAACTAGAGAGACCGTGTGGTGGATGGCTAGGCCAGAGGAGTTGAGAGATCACAACCCCCAAAGGCAGCCTAGTGATGGTTGAAGCAGCTGTCCAAATGGCTCAGGGTGGGCTGGCTGAGTTGGGGTTATAATGGGCCCAGTTGGGCAAACTGACCCAGCCAAACAGCACCAATGACTGGCCTGAGCAAAGGAACATGGATAGGTTTGTGGGGAGTTTTGTGGAAGGGCAGACCAGCTCCTGCCAAGATAGCCCATTAACCAAGGGTCCTTGGAAAAATGAAACCCAAATGTCTATAAAGGAGTTTAGGATAGAGACGCCTGGGTGGCTCAGTGGTTGAGCATATCTGCCTTTGGCTCAGATCATGACCCCGGGGGTCCTGGGATGGAGTCCTACATCAGGGTCCCCGTGGGGAGTCTGCTTCTCCCTAGGTCTCTGCCTCTATGTCTCTCATGAATAAATAAATAAAATCTTTTTAAAAATCAAAAGGAAAAAAAAAAGCTTAAAATAGATCAGATGGGACCTATCCCCACAAGGGGCTTTGAGAATACTTCCACCCCTCTTCAGAATCCAATTCTTCTTGGTTCAATAAATTTGATTAATGCTACTACGGTTCAGGTACTGTTCAAGGCCCTTGGAACACTGGGCCCTTGGCCCAGTGAAAAAGCAGACAAAAATCCATACCCTCTCCAGCAGAAAAGGGAAGAGGGCTTTCCCGTGGCTTAAGAAGACCACAAAGGGCAAGTCCACCAGGACCAGTAGTACCTTGAGGATCCCTGACCACCTTTACCAGCCAAATGGGGAAGAGACTGGATGAGGAAGCAAAGACAGACCCATGGAGAAGATGCAGGAGCAATCTATTCTGGAACAGTGTCAACTGTTCTCCCATGGGAAATACCCAATCGTGCCAGGCATGGACCCCCAAAGTGCCATGGAAAAGCAATTCTGGGAGCCCAGCTTTATAACATCAGACTGTGGTGTCAGGAAATAGCCTCCCATTCCGAGGTAGAAGGACATGGGATGGGAGGCATCCACATGTTGCCGTTGGCTCTGGGGCATGTCTCAAAGTTCATAACTTTTTCTCAAAGTCCAGAAAAAAAACATCTGTCCCAGCCCAGAGTGGCTACTCACAGCCACTGGTGGAGAGAGGGAAGGAAAAGGTGAGCCCAGGGGCCAGGATGAGCCAAGACTCAACTACTGGAAACATGGGAAGAGGAAGGAAAAGTGTAGACATTTGCAGGGTGAGGAGGAGAGGTAGCGGAATAACTGAAATGGCCTTTACATTTGCCTTGCCTGGAATTGACTTAGGGTCGGGTGGAGGTGCGTTTGTCTCCTATGGATTTTGCCAGAAAAGTCCAGCTACCACTTATCTTTGTAGGGTGATGGAAATGTTCTAAAACTAGACTGTCGGGTGCCTGGGTGGCTCAGTCAGTTAAGTGTCTGCCTTGGGCTCAAGTCATGATCTTAGGGTCCTGGGACTGAGTCTCCAGTCTGCCTCTCCTTCTCCCTCTGCCCCTCCCCCCACTCACTCATCCTCTCTCTCTCAAATAAAAATCTTTAAAATAAAATAAAACTAGATGGTCATGAGGGCTACAGGACTCAAGGAATTTATAAAATCCTTAAATTGTACACTTACAATGGGTGGAATTGATGGTACATAAATTACACCTCAAAAAAAATAAATAAATAAATTACACCTCAATAAAACTGTTAAAAAATATCTTTATTTTCTTTCTTTTGGTGGTAAGTTTATGCTCATTTGAAACAGTAATTCAAATTCAAAAATGCTTATGAGGGGATCCCTGAGTGGCTCTGCTGTTCAGAGCCTGCCTTCACACATCAGGCTCCCGGTGCATGGAGCCCGCTTCTCCCTCTGCCTGTGTCTCTGCCTCTCTCTCTCTCTCTCTCTCTGTGACTATCATAAATTAAAAAAAAAAAAAAAAAAAACAGAGCCTGCCTTCAGCCCAGGGCATGATCCTGGAGTCCCTGGATCCCATGTCAGGCTCCCTGCATGGGGCCTGCTTCTCCCTCTGCCTGTGTCTCTGCCTCTCTCTCTCTCTCTCTCTCTCTCTCATGAATAAATAAATAAAATCTTTTAAAAATATGTTTATGTATCTCACATAATGCCCCAGATTTATAATAATGCATATCTCAAATTTTTAAAAATGTATCAAGAATTTAACATTCTTGGGGCACCTGGGTGGCTTGGTCAGTTATGCAGCTGGGTGACTTAGGTCATGATCTGGGGGTCCTGGGATTGAGCCCTGTGTTGGGCTCCCTGCTCAGCAGAGTCTGCTTCTTCCTCTCCCTCTCCTCACCCCCTACTCATGCTTGCTCTCTTACTCTCTCTCTCAAATAAATAAAATCTTAAAAAAATAAAAATTTAACATTCTTAAAGCTAGTGGAGCGTGGGCTGAGTTTTAACTGTGTTTATACTGTTGTCACATGGGGGCATAACATCCTTAATAGATAAACTGAGGGATCTGCTATAATCCCAATGGTCTGTGGATCAGAACTCCTCCAAGTGTTTAAGGGACAAAAGCCATCTTTCTTCCCCTTTCTTGGCTCCTCCCTCCATTCTTTCTTCCTCCATCTCTATTCTTTCCAATGGTCACCATGATTAAAATATACAGCCTCTAACCACGTGTCATCTGAGTTTTATTTGGCAGCACCTAGACTTAGTGCTAAAAATGTGCCCCCATCAGACATGAAGGTGAGAAAACACTGTAAAGAAATGAAGACTAGACATCAACCATGATACCCTCCATTCTTAACATAGAAGAGTGCTTGCTACACAATATTAGAATATAATGAGAGCAGCAAGGAAACAAAGCTATCTTGCCACAGTTGTAGACTTAGGTAGGCTGATGCTGGCTGAGGACTAGGAAGGCTCCCTCCCAGGGGCCAGCCCTCAGCCCACCTGGAGGCCAAAGAAATGCCAGCCAGCCAACTCTCTCTCCCCTCCCAGAACCCCAAAATGTCATAAACACGGGTCAAATGAACCCTAGCCCTCCCTGCTTCTGTCGATGGCACCCATTTCACTCTTGAGGCTCTGCCTGAAAATAAGGGATCCTACGGCCCTCAGCACCCCTACTCCCACCTCTACCAACACCATGCTGCCCTCCCACCCCCACTGCCACCCTCCACCTGATGCAGTGCCCCCACCCAGGAGCACCCTGGCTTCCTCTCCTGCTTCTAGTCCCCACGGTCCCCCGCCCCCACCAAATGGGTTTGCTGGAAGGACTCTCATGAGGTCACTTCCCTGCTCAAACGTCTGTGATGAGCCCCAGACTCTGGAACACCCAGTGTTCCACCTTACTCCTCCAACACCATCTGTTCCCCTCCCCTATTGCCCAGACCCTCCAACTTGCCAAGTTTCACAGAATCCTGTATGGCCTAGAGAGAGGGACTGATGGGGATCAGACCCCCTCTCCCTACTCCTCACCACACCGAGGCAGAAACCCAGGCTCTGAGACTTACAGAAAAATATCTTGTGCAGGAACTCATGCACTGCTCAGCCCTGCAACTGAACTTCCCTCTACATATTCTTATTTCTTGGGTGGGGGGGGTTGGGGGGGGAAGGGAGTGAAACAGGAGGGGAACAGATATGAAAATGCCTGAAGATGGGGGTGCTGTTACTAGTTCCCCCCAAGGACCTGTCTGCTCATTTGTTAAGCACTGCCTGTCCAGTGGGAAGGCCTGATGTTCCCAGATGGGCTCCTACTGTCACAGCTTCCCAGTTCCTGAGGGCAGGGGATGAGATACCCCCACTTCATCCTTTCCTGGGGCTTTGGAGAGGCAGGGGGAGGCCGGTCCTCTCTTCTCCAGGAGAGTCATCAGAGGATGGGGTGGGGGTGAGAGTGGGACAGCCTGTACAGTGACACAATCTACACCGCTGTATCCTCGTGACAGCCTTGTTCCTCTCACAGCCACCCAAGGTA